CAACGTGTTGACCTAGAGAAAACAATAATATAATAGCCCTGACCGCTGAGATAGTAGAGCAGCTGAAATACTGACAGAGCAGAACTATTGTTTTCTGTAGTTTTAGGGGCAATTATCATATTGAGAAACTGAATGATAAAGTAAGAACTACCAATTAACTGAAAGATAGAATGAGAAATTCAATTGATGTATTAGGAAATTGTTTGAACACCACAAATATAGTCATACAAATAATTCCACGTACTGTAAATTGTAGATGTGTATGACAATTTTTACTCAGAGAATCCAATCATGGCCTTGCTACACCCAACAGATAAAAAACAATTTTATAAAAACAAGAAGAATCCCTCTACGAATATAAAATTGTAGGAAACAGAACCTTGCAAATATAAATTCAGGACGAAACTATCATGATAGTGTGATTCATCCAATATGCAATTCTTCTATTCTGTTCAGACCGGATCAAGAGATTGGGAATGCGCATGAGCAGATGATTTACATACTGAACTATCCATTTACACCAACATGTTATCAGTATTCCTGGTAAACTGGAATAATAATATTTTAAACAATGCATTCTCTATTGGACCATTTTAGTTCTACTGCATCCGCATAAATCATGTCGATAGAGACGGCAAAAGCATATTAACCTGCAAATCTTGCATCTTGATGCCAGCAGCAATGGACACGAGAAGCTTTTCTTCTGACAGCCGTGGCCTCAGCTCAAGTAGAACCTGCTTCACTGCAATTCGATGTGTACATGATATATCAAAACAATGGGCAGTAGCGCAAACAAATACCACGAGAACAAATCGGACAGGGCATTGGATTGTTCATGGATCACGAAATTTAACATGACAAGATTGCACAATCAACTCCCAACTGCCTTGGACCCGAAAAGCAAAATTCTCAAAGGAAAAAAAAAAAAGACGCCACTTACCGATCTGAGGCTTCACTGAGATGACGATCACATCGCTGTCGTCGACGACCTAGCACGAACGGGGGGTTAAATTTCGCGTACGAGATGAGATGAGTTTCCACAGTGATGTGCCAGTAAGTAAAAGCGCAATCGAGAGGAGGACCGGAGAGCAAGAGGGGAGGGATGGAGACGACGAGGGGATACCTGGGCATTGGTTTGGAGCAAGCACGCGCCGAAGGACGCGAAGGCCTCGCCGCGCTCGGGGCGGCGGTGGGGCGCGGTGCGGATGGCGGAGGCCGGGAGGACGCCCGACGCCGCCACGCCGCGGGCGATGCTCTCGGCCAGGTTACCCGCGCCGACGAAACCCAGGCGGAACGCGTCCCCGTTCACGGCCGCTGCCGCGGGTGGCACGGGCTGGACAGGCGGCGCCGCCATTGTTGCGAAGGTTGGGGTTTGGGGGATTGGTGGGGGGTTTTGGACGGGGCTTGGGACTTGGGAGGAGAGGGAGAGGATGGTGGCGAACGCGAACTGACAAGTGCCACGGGGACGACGGGCTGGCCTGCGATTCAGCAGGGGCGTTATGGTAAAACTTCACCGGATGACCGATGACGGGTGCCGTCGCCGCCTGGGCCTGGGCGCCTGGCTGCAAAGCTGGCTCGCTGGCTGCCACTCACCGCACCGGATTGACGGATTCGATAGGACATGGGTTCGCTGCCACGATAACATGCGACATGTGTATGTGTAGTGCACATCAAAATCATCAGCATATCTAGGAGAATACAGCCTGCATCTTCTTCCTCTTTCGAGCAAAACTCGTTGGATCTACTTACAAGAAAAATAATGCTCCCTATGTTCTTTTGTATTTGGCCACACTTAGCTCAGATTTGAACTAACCAACGTCAAATATTTGCACATTTTGCTATGACAACATAGCCTAAAGTTACAGGTATGCACACTTCACGGACCACACAATCAGATGGTGCGGCCTCAGAAAAGCATACCACTCCAGATAAACACACATCTCTATCTAGGAGAACAGACATGACACGTTCACGAGTCACGACGAGTCATTAACACCTCACATGCGAATGGAAACGGCTCAACTTTCTCTGCTGAACGAGTTTGCTGTACAAATGGCAATATATTCTCCATCTAAGCTATTGCCATTGTCACCACTTTACAACTTTACAGGAGTACACATGGCTAACTATATACATCCTACATATTCTCACTCTTTTGAAGCAAAACTCGTTGGATCTACAAGGGAAGAAAAAAACAACACTCTCTTTGTTCTTTAACATTTGACGTTGATTGGTTCTATTTCGAACCGACCAAACATCAAATGTTAAAGAACAGAGGGAGGCTGTGCAAAATATTCGCACAATCTGCTATAAACAACACAGCCTGAAGTTACAGTGATTCGCACGTCACGGCCCACAATCTGGTACACCATTTCGTTCAGATCATTGCCCGGTCAGATGGCATTGCCCTGCGTAACTGCAAATGGCCAGTATCTCTGCAGTAACACCTGCACGCTTAAAAGTAGCTAGATTGTGTTTGCAGCAGCTCAAGGTGAGCCAGTATCTTGCCGATCATCGGTTTCAGGGCAGGGTCACCTTTCTGGGCAAGATCGATGAGCAAAGCCTGCGCGATCTCGCCGTGCCGCTCCCTGTGGGCTTCGAGCCGGAACATCCGCTCCAGCATCCATAACGCCTTGTCCTGGGAACTCAGCTCTCCGGCTTCGGCAATCCTCAGCAGAGCATGGATGCCTGATGCCTTCTCTATCACTCTACTCCCATTCTCCCAGATCTCGTCCTGCATAAGAGTACCCAGTGCTTCCAGCACTGCTCCATCTGCTCCACGCTCTTCACCTTCTAGTATCTGAACCAGAGGATTGACGGCGCCGGCTTTTACTAAGCAGAAGGTGCTTTTGACAGTGCACTGGAAGCTGTGGACTATACAGTAGGATTCAGCTGACGGAGGAACGCAAAGCCACCTTGGCGATTTTGACTTACGCAGCGCCATTGTGCTCTGTGATAGTTGGGCCAAGGATGTCGCTGCTTTAGACTTGGCGTCCACTGATCCGTCTGAAAGCAACTTAACAAGGCAAGGAACCACCCCATATCCAACTGCTGAACTCTGGAGCTTCCTGTCCCAGGTAACTGTGAACCGAATAAATACACCAGCAATGCCCTCAAGCAACCACATTCTTTGAGGTGTCACGGAAGCGGCGATGTTTGCTTCAAACAAGGTCATCAGAGTAGGAATCAAGTTTGCCTGCATCAGAATCTCAGTTACCTTCTTATCTATCACTGGGAGGTTGCTTAGGATACCAACAGCTGCAGCCTTCTCGTCTCCAGAAGTAGGAGAAGAGATGATCTTTACCAAAATATCTAGATGGGTCTCCTTGAACTGTTCAGCCAATTCTTGAGAAGAATCTTTCGATAGATGGAACATTAAATGCAACGCAGCAATTTTGGTATCCACATTCTTTTTGTTAGGAAAGGTAGAAGCAGTTGTACCCCTCCATTTTGCCTAATTTTACTTCTGGCTCTTTTAGCATTCAAGCGTGCCGGAAATGCTGTTTAGGGCCCTCAGAAGATGAAGTTGAATTACCGGACTCGATAAATTAAGAAGCGAGAGCATCTGAGGTGCTACATCTTTATGAAGTAGAATACGCTCAGATTGTGCTATAGCTGCAAGTATAGCTGAGGCTGGCTCCCTGAGGGTCATGAGAACTGATGTCACAGAGAAAAGGAGCTGGAGCAGTGGTCCTGTTACACCAGAATTTATCAGGATTTCTGCATTTTGTAGAGAGCTAGAGAGATTACGCAAGGCGCCTAAGGCCGAGTGCTTGGCTTCAAGGTTTCCATATTTAAACATGTCCACTAGGGGTTCAATAGCTCCATCCTCGCCGAGGGAAGATTTCATATGTTCAGACAGGAACATTTTTGAAATAGCGGTTGCCATAAGGACCTTGTTCATGTCAGAACCTGCAAAGTAAATAGGAGGGCAAAGCTTATTTGGTGATGATATGGTTAGATAGAGTGGAGAAAGTTGAATTCTACATTGAATTCCAAATTTATAGGCTGAAGTTAATCTAGTGACTTTTTTCTCAGAATATTGTAGCCTGATGGATAAGAAAGGGGTGAACAGAAGTGACGGAACCAAAATTCTTGGTAGTTAAATTGACAAATGAAGTAATCGTTACTTCTCTTGCATCGTTTTACTTGCAATATCTCTTCCATTTTCTCCGAGAGGTATTGTTCTTATAAGAGTTGAAGTTTTCTGGACCTTACAATAAAATGGAAAATTTGTACTGCCTTATTGTAGGTACTTGTGTTGTTAAAAAGGCTTCAAGATACGGAGAAAACCATAAGAACTTATGTTCACACACACTTAAAAAAAAATCTATCTGAGACATAGTATGCCAGATCATAATACCTTGTTTGAGGTACTGTATCAACGGCAGGAAGAACCCAGCCTCCGCCATCAACAGCACATTCTGCGGGTTGGACGACAAAATGCTGAGCAACTTCTCCGCATCGTCCACGGTGCCTGATTCATGTGCATTCCTCAGCGTGACTAGCATCACGATACACCCTTTGATCCTGCCAATCCTCTGCCGGACCTGCGGGATGTCCGACAGGTCCAGCAGCACCGCGATCGCCTCCCTCCTCTCGTCGACGTCTCTGGACAGGGAGCGGACAATGCTGGAAAGCGCCTCGATGCTCGCCAACCTCTCCTGAGGTGCCGTCGAGAGAAGTGAATGTACTGATTGTCAGAACAGAGATCATGGAGAAGATGCAATGCAAGTCCGATAATCAGTTGAATGCAGCTTGGTGAGAGGGCAGCACTCGCAAGTGCAGCAAGAGGAATGGTGAGGTCGACCGTCCAAAACCGAAGCATTTCGAAATTTACTACCGTAGCGTAGGTAGTACTATACTAGTATAAGCAGTAGCGTACGAGCATAGCATCGAACACAGAGCGCGCAGGCGTGTATGTATTCGTATTTCGTAGGCAAGAAAGAAAAGGAAGAGTGGGGATCCGGGGGTGGGTGCGTGGGCCTCACTCAACTCACCTTGCTCTCGCCGGCGACGCAGCCCGCGAGGCGCCTGAGCGCGGCCATGACACTGACCCTGGCGTCAGCGGTGCCCGCGGCGGCGAGGCGCGCGAGCAGCGCCGGCACGAGGAGGCCGTCCTCGTCGTCATCCTCCCCGAGCCTGCCGTCCCCGGCCAGCGCGGCCACCTCCCGCGCCACGGCGGCGAGCTCGTCCTCCGCGCCGGTCTTCACGCGCACCAGCAGGTCCTCCACGTCCACCGCGGCCCTCGCCATCGCGTGCGGCAGGTGAGCAATCAGCAGGCAGCAGCGGCGGAGGCAGGCGGTGGGAGTCACCGCTGCTGCCAAGGCGGTGGCTTTGTTGGGTGGGAACCGAGAGGAAGTGTGGGAGTGGTGGAGTAAGGGGGCGGCAGCGGTGCGCACGGCGAAGCGGTCAAGTCGTCCATGGGCGGAGGGGGACGGGAGGATGGGAGACGACCTGGCCGCGGGCGGGGATGGATGGATGCGTCGTCGGTCGCTGTCTGCCTGTCCCGCGGGCCGCGTCCTCCGATTTTTACGACACGCAGCCGCAGGGGACAGGGAGGTCGTGGCGTTTCATCAGTTGATAAATCACGGTCGCAGTGCGAATCAGGCAGGCAGGCACCACATCAGATCTGCCAGGTGAATCTGTGGAATAACTTCATGGTTTAACCTTTTCTGCTCGTGCTTTTCTGATCGACGAACCGCGGTTAAATTTAGATTTGGCGGCAATTGAATGGATTCACAGAGCGTGCAAGCAGAGCAACCTGGGCAGGTGTGTACTGTCTAGTAGGTAGCAGGTCGCGATCGCGGGTAAGATACGGCGGATTCGCCGATGTGTCTTGTGTCATTCGCTTTCGCAAGCCACAGCTGAGAGCCTGAGAGCACACACAGCGCCGAAGCCGAACGCGTCTGGGGTTTTGACCAGTTCCGGAGTTTGACCAAGTCAGCTGACACCTCGGTTGGTCCGTCCGTGCTGACTGGGCCGACCGTCGTGAGTCGAAGCTCCAACCCAAGACGACAAAATTGACGCGTGCCATCCAAGAGCCCACGGCGCATGTACGGCGACGTTGATGGGCGTCCTGGAGCGGAGGCCCAGGTAGAAAAGCCCAATGTGTTAGCTTGTGTACGTATGGACTCACGGCCAAGTAGGCCGAGACAGCCCTACAGCGGAAGCCCATTCTGCATTTCTCCGTGCTCGCTTTCGTCAACTTTGCACCATTGGTCCTCTGCATTTTTTGTTTATTATATAAATTATGGCAAAACAATTTCTTTTAGAAACAGGATTTTTATCCCAGCACGAGCTATGCACACAACCAATCGTATTTGCAGGTTATTTGTAAGGCTATATACTGAACTCTTTTTCAGACCATTCTCCAAATGAAAAGCGACACATCAAGGTTGAAGTGGGGCTAGAGTTAGAGACGGCGGCTTTGGATATCTTCGCTAAGCATTTCATGTGCTTTGTTAGTGTTACTTTTTAAGAGCATGCTTTTATAGCCACAGCCTAAAAGCTATAATAAAGGTTGTGGCAAAACCATGGGCAGAGCAAGGAGCAGTGGTGCTGGTGCGTCGAGTTACTCTAATCAGGGGTAATGGTACGAAATGTTTTAAATAAAAGAGAGGGTGGGGTCAATCGTGCAATTTCAGAGGTCACAATCACAATGTCGACACCTAAACACCACGAGTCGTCGAGAATAAGAGCTTTTGTCAAGGAACACACGTGGAGAGTGTTTTTTTTTTTTTTGATAATGCATGGAGAGTGATTGAATGAGACATTTTCAAGTATATATAGCACCTAGAAGGTTCACGTATATAAATCACCAACGCCACCTTCAACACTCAATACACACATCAAGTAACGGTACAGTACGGGATGTACACGTACTACGTACAGCACAAATAAAAGACAGGCAGGTAAGCTAAGCTCCTTACTACACCGAAACAAGAAGTAAACAGCTGAGCAGATCTCTCTTGTCAAAGCAGGCAGGCTCTCATCACGCATGCATCCGTGCGTGTACATGCGGCGTATGTATGTATGGCCGCCGGACTGCCGGAGCGAGCTGCGGCGGCGTGCCTAGTCGCAGCACATCTCGCAGATCCAGCAGCAGCAGAGCGCCGCGATGCTGAAACCAAAACAGGACAGTTCAAGTTCAGTTCATGAGGTTGGCGCCAACGCGCGAAAAAGCTCACACGGAGAGATTGGTCGACATGGATGATATATACTACGGAGTAACTCTTAAAGATTTCAGTTTATAGATGGAATTAATCAGGAGATAGATTATAATTACCATCCTTCGATGAAGCCTTTCTCCCCGCGCGAGGTCGTCTTCCCCCGGCGTCCCTTCCTGCTGCCTCCCTGCTCCTCGGCGCCTGCAGCCGCCGTCGGGTAGCCTGCTGCGTACATGTCATTTCAGCATGTGTCCATCCATCCATCCATCCACACGCATCATGATTCATGAATGAACAAGCTAAGAACAATCCTCTGACCTGGTGGCGGCGGCGGCGGCGCCTGCTGCCTGTTGCCGTTGTTCTCCATCCTTGTCTCCTCGCTTCTAGCTAGAGCACGCACGGCGAAGCTGTAGTGAGCAATGGATTTTAGCTCTCACGGGTATGGTACGTGGTTGCCTACTTGCCTTGGTGCTGTTGCCACCTTAACGAGCCACGCCCCGGGTTTATATAGCACAGCCTACGGGCTACGACCTGCAATCCAGCTGCAGGGCAGTGTCCAGTTTGTTGCTGCTACGTTCCTTCCTTGCCGCCTTGGTTTTCTTCCAGGTCAAGATAAGGCCAGCCTGCTGTGTGACCACTGACCAATGGAGAGGCTGGGTCGGCGAAGGCTGTCATCGATTGCCTCTCTCTTTCCAGCACGTCTCGCTCGGCATGCAGTCAGAGATTGACAACTCGCCGATTCCCTGTGTTGACACACAAGGCACAGTGGCAGAGCTTAGCTTCTTCGACGAATTTAACAAAGAAATACGTACGTGTGCTGCTGTTAATTAATGGCTTGTTTAGTTCGTCCGATTCGACGACGCCGAATTTCCTGTAGCGCACTGTAGCGTTTCGTTTGTGTTTTGTAATAATTATCCAAATATTGACTAATTAGGCTCAAAACGTTCATCTCGCAAAGTACAATCAAACTGTGCAATTAGTTTTTGATTTCGTTAATATTTAGTATTCCATGCATGTATCGCAAATTTGATGTGACGGGGAATCTTTTTTTTTTTGCATAGTGTCAAATTCAGGAGTTTTTGGTAACTAAACACCCCTAATTACACTTGTCTCCTGCCCTAGCCTTTGCTTTCGCAAAGAGAGAAACAAGACAAATAAAGCCCTGCTAGCCATCGGACCTACACGCATGCAGTGGACAAGCTAAGTCTGTCCGTGCGATGCGGTTCGTCGGTGGCTGGCTCCGGCTGGCCGGAGGAAACAAACAAAGGTGGCTCCTTCTTTTTCACCATGGAGTCGCGCCTTTTGATCCAAGTCTGACGTGTGTATTGCGATATTCAGATGATGAAGAATCAGGTTCTTTCCTGAATGGAGAAAAAGAAGGCCTCTAGAGATGCAAATCACAACCTTCGCTCGTTCACACCAGATCATGTTGGCCTGGCCTGGTTATTGGTTAGACAAACAGAGCGGATTGAATTGTTTTTCCTCTTCTCATCCAACTTCTCCCAACTACTGTATGAACCTGCGCCCGCTGGAACCTGCATGCACGCGGAGCGCGGCGGCGGGGAGATGCCGTGCCGCCGTCGCTGTCTCGAACCCCACGAGTCAGGTACGAGGCAGATGTGCCGCCCCTCTGGCCCTCTCTCTGTCTCTGATCCTCTGTCCAGGCTTACATGCATTGTGTTGCATTGTGTTTGGTTCAGTTCTAAAATTCATGTCACATCGAATATTTAGATATTAATAAAGAGCATTAAATATAGATTAATTATAAAATCAATTATATAGATAGAGACTAATTTATGAGACGATTTTTTAAGCCTAATTAATTTATCATTAACATATGTTTACTGTAGCACAACGTTGTCAAATCATGGATTAATTAGGTTTAAAAGATTCGTCTCGCAAATTAGTCGCAAGTTGTGTAATTAGTTTCGTAATTAGTCTATATTTAATATTCCATACATGTATCTAAATATTTGATGTGACATGAATTTTAGGAGAGCAAGTACAAACCAAATACTCCCTCGGTCCAGCAGTGGTATGGTATGGTTGCACAGGTCAGTCAAAGGATCAACGTTCGGTCGTGGGGATAGTGCATCCAAAAAGTCAAGTTTGAGCGGCTGTAGTTGCAGGATGCCCTGGGAACTCACATCCATCTGCATGTCTAAACGTTGAGAGAATTTTGACATTTTCGTTTTCTCCATCCAAAGGAAGTTTTATTCGGCAGAGTTTTGACATTTAATGATGTTTGTCATTGCTAAATCAATGGAGATTTTTTGACAAACTTCTTGTGTTTTAGACTTAGGCCATATTTGTTATAGCTCCGCTTAACTGGTAAAGTAGGGTTTTTTTTTCTAGCTCCACGAATAAATTTACTAGTGGAGCTAAATATGTTTAGTATAAACGTTTGGTAAAACAACTTCTCACATTAGATCGAGGAGAGGGAGCTGAAAGGAGCTAGTATTTTTTTAGCTCAATTTAGCGTTCAAATCTTGTGAGTCTTGTCTCACGTTTGGCACAGCTTCCCCAGCAAATTCAGAAGCTGTTTGGAACTTTTTTTTTACCAAATAGGTTAAAATAAAAACAGCTCCTCCAATGGAGTTCCTTAAAGCCCGCTCTCATAGAGGGGTGAGAGCCAGATGGAGCTAAAAATACTAGCTTCTTCTGGCTCCCTCTCTCCTATCTACTATGAGGAGATGTTTTACTAATTTTTTTTTCAAAATAGCTTCAGCTCTATCAGTGATGTTGCTTACGGAGCTAAAGAAAAAAAAACTGCTCCACTAGTAAAGCGGAGCTGTACTAAATTGGGCCATATTTTAAGAAGCTCCACATAAGAAGATATTCCATTTAACCTATTTGAAAAAAAAAACAATTCTGAAGCTGTTGGGAAAGCTGTGCCTATCGAGGCCTTAATATTTCTTATATTGAGTTGCTTTACTATCCTCACCGTGGTATTGAAAACGTCTAGAAGAAAAATGAGAATTTTGACAGAACTCTTACACACCAATGGTAGGGATTGTGTATTGAAAATTCAGCTGAAGCACAGAGTGTATTGAAAATCCAAACGAAATAGTACGACCTCTTACACACCAATGGTAGGGATTGTGCCACCACCCACAACTTGATTGCCATTTTAGTCATGTGGCTATTAAGATATATAAAGGTGGAGAAAGAATAAAGCTTCGAATTTGATACAGAAAAAAAGTATTGCAAGGTGGCATATACATATATATACAAAAGAAACACAAGTCTCCAAAAACATAAATCTTGCAAAAGATTCACCGTTTACAAAATTGGAAGCTTGTCTTTGTTCTTTGATGTATGACATCCAACATGACCAAAGTTTTCGACTACTAGTGCAAGTGTGTGGGGGTTATGTTTGATGTTTTTGGCAACTGCATGTTCTCAACGGAAGGAAAAACAATCGAACGAACCTAAAAGAAGCTTTCTTCTCGGCACCTATGGTTTCCCTAGGCGACTAGAGCGGCTCAGTTGGTGGCGTCAGGATCTTCGTCTCTTCCTCCCTCTTCCTTAATCCTCCGAGCGTACCATTGCCTTGGAGATTCCTTGCCTAGGTTTTTCTCCCGTTCTGACTGCCCTCTGCGTGTTTGGTACAGTTTTGCCCCGTGTGTCCACGAAAACCCCAAAACCCTAGTTTCTGCTAGCCCTTGCGTCTTGTGTCCACAGACTTTTGGATCGCCTTTGGAGTGTTGGCAGTGCGGAGGCGGGCTCCCGAGTGGGGTTCCAATGGAGGGGGTGGAGGGGATGTTGAAGAAACTGCAACTGTCGTCGGAGGAGAAGAGAAGCATCAAGTTTGAGGCGGAGGCGGGGAGCGGGGAGAATGATCGCCCACCTCAGGCGGCCGCGAAGCTATTCTCGGACAGGAACGTTCGTCCTGATGTCATTGAGCAGTCTGTGGGGTGGATCCGGTGTCCAGCGAGGGGAATCTCATGCAAAGATCTTAGAGATAATGTCTTCTTGATCTCGTTCAACCAGGCGTCGGGTTTGAGGAGGGCGTTGGATGATGGGCCCTGGATGATTTCAAAGGAACTCCTGGTGGTTACGGAGTTTGATGAGGCGAAATCGGTGGATGAATTTGACTTCTCTGTTGTTCCGATCTAGATGCGGGTGGAGCGCCTTCCTCTGGGTCTGATGAATCGGGCAGCAGCTAGGGCGATTGGTGATGATGTTGGAGAGTTCATGGAGGTGGATGCGGATGGAAGTGACTTGGTGGCGGGGAGAGATCTACGTCTCAAGGTCTGGATGGATAACCGTAAACCTCTCCGTCGGGGCATCTTAGCGGATCTGGGACTAGACAAAGGAGATCGGTGGTGCCCGATCAATTATGAACACTTGCCTGATTTCTGCTACATTTGCGGGCTGATCGGTCATGTGGATCGCGCTTGTTCGAAGAAGTTGGGGAAGGGTGAGAAAGCCCCATATAGTAGGGAGTTGCGGTATATACCACCTCGTCAGCCGATCGGGGGATTTGGAGGATCAGGGTCGTGGAGAGCTAGGCGTTCTGATAGCTGGAGCAGTGGAAGCAAGTATCGGTCGAATGGTCCTTCTTGGAGGAAGGATGCAGAGAAGGGAGATGTGAAGGTGATCGAAGGAAGGATGATGGGGAAGAGGTGACGAGCCCTATAAAGGAGATGCAACTCTTGGAGAAGACCCCAGGTGCAGTGAGGACTAAGCTATTTCCAAAGGAGGTGGGCGATGAGCATAGTAAGGGGCACGTGAACAGTACCATGCAAAAAGCCCAGAATACTCCAGCCGTGAAGAATAAGGAAGGGGAGAAAGATAAATTTGGGGGTAAGTTCAAGAGAGTGAAGAGGGATGGCAAGCGACATATGGGGGAGACGATCTCGGGGGAGATACAGAAGAAGACAAGAGGTAGGGGAGAGGATATGGATCTTGATGAGCAGGCTGAGGTGAAGAGGTCCAAACGAGGTGTTTCGGTGGAGAAGGCGTCCGAAGTTGAAACTGTTGAAGCGAGGCTGTCGGAACAGCCCTGTATGCCCTAATGAAGATAATAGCTTGGAATTGCCAGGGGTTGGGAAACGCCCCGGCAGTTCGGGGGCTTCTTCGGTGCCATAAAGCCAAAGAAGCTGACATTCTTTTCTTGTCGGAAACAAAACTAGATGAGAAGAGGATGATTGTGCTAAAAAAGAAGTTGGGTGTGGAGAATTTGGAGGTGGTGGATTGTGAAGGAAAAGGCGGGGGCTTTCTGTGTTGTGGAGGAGAGGAATCAGTGTGGTTTTGAAGGGTAAATCGAAAAACCACATTGATGTGGAGGTCCCGGAGACTGGTGGACAAAAATGGCGGTTTACTGGGATTTATGGCGAACCCGAGTTGAAGTATAAAATTTGG